ATCTCAGCAAGTGTCTCACGACATTCAGAAAGAAATGGGAAGACAGGCTCTTACGTTGAAATTGCCGATGGCCGGAGAAACATTCACGGTGATCACAGACGCAAGTGACGTCGGAATTGGTGCGGTATTGAAGCAAAGGCAGAGGACGATTGGATACGCTAGCAGAATTTTAACGCCATCGGGATGCAAGTAGTTAACAGTAGAGAATAAGTGTCTGGCAATTGTTTGGGCGCTGGACAAGTGGTGCGCATACTTACTGACTCAACGTTTTCCTGTCGAAACAGATCACCAACCGTTGGCATGGAGTAGGTCCTCCAATTACCCCAGAGGCAAATTGACTAGGTGGCTGCTGCGCTTACAAGCATACGAATTCACGATAAGCCACATATCAGGGAGGGACAAAGGAAAGGCAGATCTTTTTATCGCGCCTGACGAGTGATGACAATGTGCCGAACGTTGCCTTCGGTGTCAGTGGTTTGGTGCTGGAGCAGGATCCGCGGAGGTTGGCAGCTGAGCAACGAAAGGATAGGATCGTGAACAGGCGGATAACAGCACGAATAATGAATCAAGCTGTGACAACCAAAAGCCAAGGCCAGCAATTCGGACCGTCCGCGCTGAACCTGGAAAACCTGCAAGTCAACGAAACCGGAATTCTGATGTGGACACAAGGGTGAGGCGCTACCCCGATGCCGGTGATCCCACCGAAATCGAGGAAAATTTAGTGGTCTCTTGTCACGTGATGGCCTATATCGGATGCACCAAAACATACGATTTGCTTAGACAGCGAGCTTACTGGCCGGGTATGAAAAAACCTCGATACAAACGTGCTGTTGTGTCAGTAATGTCAGCTCTTGAAAGGAGACAAACGAAGAATTTCACAACCTATGCTCGCAATTTCCGTATCTGAGACTGATGAGTTGTGGCCAGTCGACGTGATGCGGCCGTTCACGATAACGGGACGGGGCAATCAATACATATTCGTGATGACTGAACTGCCAGCTGTGGCCAGCTGTGTTGTGCGGCTAGCTTCAGCTAGTGTCCGCCTAGTTTTGGGTTTTGGCTAACCTCCAGGAGGCGGGAGGCAAATGTGACTAGCATGTGTAAAATCTGCTAGGTCAGGATGATAAATTCCGTCGTACACTCATAGGGCTTTCTGTCGCAGCTGGAATGGTAGACGGAGTACACCCTTCATTTTTAGTTGCCTTAAGCTGTACCGTCTCGAGTACAGCGAGATCATGTTTCTGCCAGGGTTGCTAGCCTGGATTGCGCACTCTACAAGGGACTTCAAGTACGTGTTGTTGACTTGTGAGAAGATGGGAAGATCGAACCGCCCGAACGTCCTCCATAAGCGACCAACGTGTTGGTCCCCGGTTTTGACACTCCTACAGCTTGCTTCGAACAGCCAAAGTCATCCTGAAGCATTGCACCAAGATCGCGCTCCTGTGAAGCGGTCTGTAAGATGTAGTCTCCCAGCACTTATGTACAACTTAGTTGATGACGCAGATGACTCTTGTCCACGTTAAACTGGTGCAGATTCATCTTTCACCATTCACATTCACTGTCCAGGTTTCGTCGCAGCAAATCATGATCTGCTCGATTAAAGATTGCCCGTTACATCTTGCTATCATCAACAAAAGTCAAAAAGTTCGACTCGACGGCACACGTGATATGATATGGTATGATACGGACAAAAAAGCCAAGGCTTAACAAGTCCCGTGGATTGGTTTGTGGGAATAATACTTCAACAAAGCTGCACAAATGTGAAAGAAGCTGCATCTTTGGACTCACCATATTATCCATGTTAACACATAAGTATGTTTGTCTACCCCGATTTCGTGAGGTTGGTGAGCACAATGTTTACCTGCACTATGTCGTCACCCAATGAGTAGAAATCAGATCAAGTGATATAAATGGTGTAAAGCATCGTCGAGTCGTTTTTTTATTGGGTAGTGTGGGCGCGGAAATGACAAAAGTCGAAATAGCGTTCCACGGTTGACAAACTCGGAGGGAAAAATTATTCCGGCGGCATTCCAGCCAACTGTATTTTGTGGCAAGTTTCAACTTATGTCCCCTCAAATCCGTGTTGCAGCTAAGCTTCAGGAGGTGGCGGCAGGCTTGACCGGGGTTTTTCAACATACGGAACGCCAGGATGAGGTCACCCCGTAGGCGGCGATATCTTTCATTGTACAGTCCCAGGGCTCTCAGTCACTTATGGTGACGTTACTAATGATCGGAAATAGGCGCGGGCCTAACACTGATTCCTATGGAACACCGCATTCCACCCTATTCGGATCAGATAATAAGATTCAGCTTGTTCATAATGGACGTGAAATGTGCATTACTATTACGGAGGCTGACAAAGCCTACTAGCTTTGCACCGGCGTTTGTACACACAGTCACAGCATGTTCCGCTTTCCGCAACAGCTGTAATCTTTGCAAATTTGTAAAATAGCTTCAGATGTGAAGTTGACAGTCAGCTAATGCCCGTTTTCATCGTGTTGCCGCTAGGGATCAACTGCTCCTTAAGGGTCGTGGGCTATGAGTCTTTCTGTATTGCAGAGCAGTAAAGAACTTACTACATTCCGATCACCTTTGAAACTCGGACACTCATGCGTGAGTTATTGGTGCTCATACGGATGGTGAACTGCCGACAACTACTACCTAAAGTCATCTTCCTAGAATGGGGCAGGGACGCGAAACTTCTATTGCACTCTATTGGATGTCGGTTGCCGAGCATGGCGATACGCTGCTGTCTGCGCACTAGCGAAGACTCCCCTGAACTAATATCTTGCAACTACTTTATTCTGTCACCGACTCGTCACCTGTTACACTAGCTAAGTCAAGTTACATTCAACTGTGGGCAACTATTCACATGATCAGTTAAACAAATTTCTACACTAGCGCTCAGAATGACAACTGCAATAACTACTAAAACGCTTCTGAGGGCGACCTTCAGATGATGAGTATAATTGGGAAGACTGATTTCTCCGTAATCCGCTTTCCACGATTTTGTTTGTTTCTGACTTCTACATTTCGCCGGGTCCATCGGCTTGTTGTACCATTTTACGGTGAAGTTAGGCACTGGAACTCTTGGTAGATAAAATATAGTTTTGGTTGCCCGCACCTCACTCGGAAGCTGTGGACGAAGTCATGGAAATCGCGTTTACAGGACACGACTTAGAAGGTGTGGAGCTACTCCCAGGAGAACGACTTCTTGATTTAGAGTATGCTGATGATATTGCCCTCATCTGTGACAGCTCACAAACGTGCCAAGCGGCACTGGACAGATTAGCACTAGCTGTCCGTCACTTCGGGCTTTGCTTCGCACCCTCGAAGTGCAGAGCGTTTCTCCAAGAGTGGTCTGGACCGCCTCCTACGCTGACCCTTGGTGGGGATCAGCTAGAAGTCATTCAAAAATTCAACTACCTGGGAAGTTGTATCAGCACCCATGGGATTGAAGATGAAATCACGAATCGTATAGCAAAAGCTCGGGGCGCTTTCGCTAACCTTCGCCACTTATGGCGGCGGCGCGACATCACTCTTGCCCTGAAGGGTAGAGTGTACAATGCAGCAGTACCTTCGATCCTATTGTACGGTTATGAAACCTAGCCGCTTAAAGCAACGGACCTGAAGAGGCTAGTTACGTTCGACCTGCGGTGCCTTCGTAATTTAGCTCACATTTGGTGGGAACACCGCGTGAGTAGCGAGCGTGCTCGACGCCTTGTTTATGACACAGGAAAAGGAAATGAACCGCTCAGCACCGTTATTTCACGCATCAGGGTCCGACGGTTAGACCACGTGTTACGCATGCCAGCCCACCGGCTTCCGCGACGTGTGTTGTTTGCGCGCCGGGGGTGTGGATGGAAGAAGAGGAGGGGTGGCCAAGCGATGGCTTGGTCCAGAGGAATGAAGACCCTCACTTCTGAACTGGCCTCGGTTGGAGCGTCTCGGCTCCCTGGTTGGGGTCCGAAAGACGATGAACACGTTTGGTTGGACACACTTGCTGATATGACTAGGAGCCGATATCAGTGGCGTTCGTGCTGTGAGTTTCTTTGCCCCACCCCATCCCTCTTAGCCTCCCCCTCCAACCACGATCTCATTACTTAGCCTTATATAATTTTGCATAATAATTTTTTTGGGTGCACAGCAGCCGGCCGGAACGATGCCCATCCGTTACCGGTAGCTCAGCCAGCTTTCACCAGTTGTTTTCTTTTTCTGTCTCCTTTTTTCTATGTATTGCGGCACAGTAGCTGAGGTGTTCCCCACCTCTAGCTAACGTGTATGCTGATGATGATGATGATGATGATGATGATGATGATGATGATGATGATGATGATGATGATGATGATGATGATGATGATGATGATGATGATGATGATGATGATGATGATGATGATGATGATGATGATGATGATGATGATGATGATGATGATGATGATGATGATGATGATGATGATGATGATGATGATGATGATGATGATGATGATGATGATGATGATGATGATGATGATGATGATGATGATGATGATGATGTGATGATGAATGAGAGATGATGAAGATGATGATGATGATGATGATGATGATGATGATGATGATGATGATGATGATGATGATGATGATGATGATGATGATGATGATGATGATGATGATGATGATGATGATGATGATGATGATGATGATGATGATGATGATGATGATGATGATGATGATGATGATGATGATGATGATGATGATGATGATGATGATGATGATGATGATGATGATGATGATGATGATGATGATGATGATGATGATGATGATGATGATGATGATGATGATGATGATGATGATGATGATGATGATGATGATGACCTCACTCGGAATTCAAAAATCTGTCATGTGATCGGGTTTAGGCAGAAAATAATTACCTCGGCCAAACACAGTTCGGATTGAAGTACAATCCGCTTCATAGAAACCCGAAATATTTGCACTTAATCTCACTCCATTGCGTTTTTCTGCAGATATACGTGACTGGATACCCTACTCCTGTGTTTCATTGCGGTGGTCTACCGTTGAACTCACCTGTCAGGGTTTCGGATGAGCCACAAGGAGGCACCTTCATGTACGAAGCCACAGTGGAACGGATCACAGAGGAGCACCTAAGCATCTTCGAATGCGAGGCCCACAATGAAGCTGGAACGGCAGTGCAGCCGATCGAATTTACCGGTGCGTAACGAAACGATTGAGATCAGTATACTCATTTTACTGCAGGACGTTCACTCTATGAGATGCTTGATTCATGTTATTTTGTATCGATACACACATATCGCTTTAGCTACCCGAACCATGTAGCTTCACGCAATAAACATTTCATAGCACGTAAAACAATACTTCGGTCGCTTGCTTTTAAAAAGACATTTAGTGTTAACTTCATAGTCAAACAACTTCGCTCATGCCCATCTCGCAGTTACCCACTTCAGGTGAGCCGGTAGGATGTCCAGTTGTGATCAAATTTGTCATACTCGCATACAGGGCAGTAGTAAAGTTTTGAAATGTTTACACCATTACTTCCATACCCCCATCATGGAGCTAAAATCTCATCCGACTGTTTTTTTATTTATTTACTCAACAGCTGCTCCCTCGGTCCCCGTAATTTTGTCACTGAATACTTCAAGATACGCGGATTACTATCTTCTTACCTGGACGGCCAACTCTAGGGCACCACTGAGAAACGTAACAGTTGAAATAGAACAGCATCCAGCAGACAATGTAAGTTCATGGTTTTAGTCCGGATTTGGTTAATTACGCGTAACACTGCTAATAATGAAGATAATTTTGGTCGGAAATCCTTATGTGAAGGATGCTCCAGTTTATGTGCTTCTAGTTTGAAAATATGAAGTTTTCCTCTCCCACACGTACGGGATTACTTATGTGCACACCGCTGCATGTGTCCAGTTTTCAGATTTTCTGGACATTCCGTCTCCCAACATACGCACTTTGACGTACCCTTTGGGACTGACCTCATTCGACGACGCACAGGCCTTTGTGGAGCTGAAAAACGACAGTTCTGCAGGCAGATGGCAGCACACCGCATGGCATCACATTGCCAATCTGACTGCGGATACGGAACACGGGATTCGTCTAAAAGTGTGCAACCGATATGCCTGCCAAATGTCGCACACTGAGGTCATGGGGTCACACCCGTTTAGCCTTGTGTTCCGGACATCCAAGTTCAACGGTGAGTGTGGACACCGCTGTCCACTGTGTGGGAAATTGAAAGCCACCATCGATCTATAGTTTCGTTGCGGATTTGCTTTACTGAACCCATATCATCCGGTTATAAGCCGTACACCTAATGTAACTACGATTCTGAGATTGCGCGTTGGCAGTATCATATAAGTCCGAATGAACTCCGTGAGTTTCTTCCGTTTAATCGTTCTCTTGTACCGAAATTGTCCACCACTGATACTGTGAACGTTTTTTAACCGGGAAGCGTTAACTTCTCTGAGGCACCTTCTGGTCGGTGTCGTATCATTATAGCACATATATCCCAGTAGAATGTAAATGCGAGTTTCGCCAGGAACGCTAATCACACTACGTAACATTCTCTCACAACCACAATGCAAGTAAAAACAGGTGTTATCTAATTTATCAAAACTACCATCAGACAATTTTATATCGGTCATGCCATGCAAGAAGCAATATGGAAATTTTGACTGCATTCACAAGTAGTACCCCATATCCACCAAAGCGATTTGCCAAGAGGAGGGATGCGTGCATCGAAAGTGTTCAATGCGACTGATCCTCCGATAGTAGAACACTTTTGAGACTACATCAAGGTTGAAAAGTATTCGGCAAATTTTCCATCATTTACTTCAGGGGTATGAATGTTCTCTCGTGCCACTCCAAAGCAGACGAAGGCACATTAAAAGTGCGATAACTACAAGTATGTGGCTAACCGTGAAAACGGTTCGAATGACCCTAGAGGGAATATAGTTTCTCAATGTTCCCACGAAGTATGCGACATAGAAGAACTGATAAACGGGATGTGTGGAGAAATGTACCTATTCCACGGAGTCGTTCGCAGGAGAAACGCTAAAAGAGGGCAGTAGATAAATTCCACAGGATAGGGGGACCTAGAGTTGATGGTGAACAGTAAAAGTTCGAGAAGCAGAAATAGGATAAATTTTGCAAAGGGCGACATGATTCTCGTTTAGCCACCGCTGTGGCGACACATTTGTAATACATCACGCAGTCAGTGGCAACACAGTGAAATGTTGTGACGAGTTGGCTTTTCCTGCATTCTTAGCTATGCTTCGTTGCCTACTCTGACTGACGCTGGTGTAGACAGTGAAAGAACTGGGCACAGTCGGTCACCGGTTGCGTCAACAAACTGAAAGTAGCACGTTGAAAAGACCGGAAATTCTTAGTTGTGGGCGTTGGGAATACATCGGTCGTTCATGCTGACTCAAGACTCTTTTAAGTTCAGAATCTACGCTCCCACAGTGGAGGTTGTGCATGCGATTGCACTACTCGATCTTAACTTGTTCGAGATGACGAACAAAAGGTTACCTTACATATCGAACAGCGTATTGTGGCTCAATTTTGAATGGGGCATGGCATAGAACCAGCTGAAAGTTACAGAAAACTTCGTCATTTACGTCGTCACATTCTGCGTTCTGAACAGCTTATTAGCGATAGTCGTCACGTAACTTGTCGTGTAATTGCACACGTGCTTAATCTTTCTTCGAGAACAGTAGACACAGCGCTTTAAAACCATTCATTGTTCCGAACACTAAATGTCATGGGGGTTCCAGAAAGGTTTTGCGCGGGAATCTGGAAGACCAGTATCTTCCGGATTGCAAAGTCACGTCTTCCCTCCGAGTGGTTTCCACCTATTTGGATACCTAAACTGCCTCATGAGCGGTCGACATTTCCACGATGTTGATGAAATTAATTTGGTTGTCCTAAACGAGTTCAAGCCTACTGACAAGCATTTTTCCGACGCGCTGTGGCAAGTGTATAACTGTAGAATGAGGATATGTTGAGAAATAAATGCAGTATCCACTTCTGTACTACGTAAATTTCTTTCTTATTAAAGTCCCGGAATACCACTCCAGGAAGCTTAGGGCGTTGAAGACGTTTAAATAGCTGTCACAAGTGGGGAGTGTGTTTGCCCGGGCCATTTATTAAAGATGGGCACTTTCCACTACGTGACTCTCAGACTTCTCGCCTCATTCTCATTCTGTTGGCTACCTTTCACCGCGTGTTTTCGCTATTACTTTTGTACAATCAACTGGTCTCTTGTAGTCTTCTGTCTCTTTATAGATTTGCGTCTTAGCCACCTAGAACTAAAATTATCGCCATAGATTATTTTATGCATTAAATGGAACGCTTGTAAGCGTCCTGTCATAGTTGGTCATGTTAACCATTGAGACTACTCTAAAAACCAACAACGTATGCAATCCCTTACCGAGATTCTGCTACAAACCTTTATCGTTTATTCAGTTTTATTTTTATTTATCGCCATCTTTTACTGAGAGTAAACTTGACTGTGATAGTTGACTAACGCCAGGATTCTGGTCGACCTTTCAAGAGGGCCACGGATAACAAAGCTTCAGTTTATATCGCATCCAAATCGTGCGCATTCTTAACAAGTGACTAGCTCTAAAGCCACCTCGTGCTTGGTGCTCACAGAGCAGCATGCTCCCTGATATGACGTGAACTAGCTTACCTTACGTGGGGATGGAACGCACAGGCATGTATCAGTAGACTTTTCACTAGTATCCGCGGAGTATTCATCGGTGACCATCGTTGCTTTCAACACATCACGTAAACCGTGGAAGATAGATTTGCCTGCCTGATCTCAGCTGCTACACATCCACGCCAGTCGCTTCCACTAATTGTTTAGTCGTGCGGTTACGAGGTCATCCATGAACTGGAAATGGTATTAAGGTGCCCAGTTGATAGTGAACGAAAACTTCTATTTACGGGGGTCTGTTTAAATCGGACAGTGTCCCGCTGCGCTAACTTGACATTCAGTAACAATTATTCTTATTCACTATTCTGCATGGTAATCTGTTAGACCCTATTGCGTTTAACGTGTTACACCGTAAGCATGGCACTATGAAGTATACCTTGATCAATGTTTGCATCTTAATGTTTCCCTCGGTTTAGGTTCCAACAATGTCGACCCGTTGATCTTATTAAAATCGCCATTGGAAACGGCACGCGCACGTGAGTTTTCCGCACCTGCTGGTTACACTATTGTTCCGGTTAGACTATCTTCATTGTCTTACCAACTAGTTATGTTGCCCAGCTTCTCAGTCTAATAGTACACAAATAGCACATCGTCTACAGCTGCCCCTATGTGTAATCATGCCTTCGACGTATCTTAACATACCTGGATTGACTTGTCCCACTTCCCCCAATTTAATTGCACTTATGCACAGAGTTTTTACCCAAAAGGGCTTAAACTCTATCTATAGAAATACGAGGGTATCAGTTGCCAACTTTTGCTCAAATGCACGTATGGCGTATAAAACTGCGGTAGGACCGGGGCCAGTAGCTGCCCACTTCGCGCCTGTGAAGTATTGCTCACATCTGATGGAAACACCGGGTGGTCAATGCTGAGGTCCGTCAGTTGGTTTTTGACAAAAAGCCTCCTGGTGCCACACTCTAGTGTTTGCTGAATTTGAACCGCTCACATTGGCGACCCCAAGGGCCTTCGTATGCCCGTTCACTGCCTTACTCGACCAACATCATACGCCGTGGCTGCACCAAGTTAGATGAAACCGTGAGGTGGCCAGTCCATGACGTGGCATAGAAGCTTGAAGGAATTGTTTGAGAGACTTAGTCAGGTAGTCTACGTGGATGGGAGCACCAATTGGAGACTCCATCTGAAATGTTAAAGTCTCGCATTCAGTGGAGATACAGCATTCGGTTTCTTGAATCTTCCTTCAGTTCATTTTCTTTGTATTCCGATTGCTTTCGAACTTCTCACTGCTGCGGTTAATTGTTATCCTGGCGATACGAGTTGTGACAACTCGATCCACCGCAATTTGGTTGCAGGATCATGGTCGCCTAATGGGTTCGAGCTGGCGAAATTGCACGAATAAACAACACCGAATATTTCATGGCATAACGCCTGAAATTTTATAGCCAATAAGCTGACACATTAAAAAAGAGAGGGCAAAATGACTTTTTGCTAATTCCGCTGCTCAAATCCATCTTTTTGAACGAAATACGCCACTTTGAAGCTTTTAAAACTATGCTGACGACTTGGTGAGCTTTCAGTTACTTGGCAATTCTTTTCTACAAACCTCAGACCCAGGGGTTTGGGATTGTAGAACACGGGACTGTACATCGGAAAGAGACTACTGAATCAATGAGTGCACGTGGCTACTCCCTCCAGGTCTATAGACAGAAAAAAACTGTGAAAATCACAGCAAAAATGCAGAATGCGAGCAATCTAGATCGGATAAATTTCCATCTTCTGTTGATCTAACTGATCCCGACTGCCCAATCATCCTTATGAACACATCCCTGTACGTCCTGCTCAACAGGTTGTAAGTTTCTTGGTCGGTAACAGGACGGGCATCCAGCATGATTATAAGAGGCGAAGGGCGAGTCGGTTATAGGTTTTAGGAATGTTGGCTTATTACAACTGAATGCGTCAGCGTTGAGCAAGTGGTTGCGAACTTGCGTTCAATGAAAGGATGCAGGATTGATGGTATCTACAAAAATGCGAAAATTTAGCGGAAAGTCTTACTTAAACAACAAAGTTATTGATATTTTCTTGTGAACTAAAACCCTCCCTCGAATGTGTACAAGATACGCATCTATCCACAACGTCACTGGAAACACTGCATCCATCCGTACACACGCTTCGAAGACGACGGGAGCTGCGACCGAGTTCTTTCTCTCCTCGCTCGGGGCTTGTACTTAAATGTTTGCACTTCTACTGATTGCACCCACTGACATGGACACACGCACACAACACTGCAGGTGTTTCCCGAATTTTCCACTACTTCTGAACGGTGTCAAATCAGCCTACTGGCATACTGGCACTGATTCGGGTATATCACAATTCCTTTATATGGGAGCAACACAGCGGAGATCCTGGGAGGAAACAGTGTCAACTGTCCGTCTTTAGAGCCTATGAGTGCTGAATAACCTCCACACAAGACTGGTTAGCATCGTCTGAAAGTGTACAACTCACGATGCAACTGGAAAAATGTATCAAATCATGGACAATAGGCAGCACTTTGTCACATGTTTGCCACAAGTCTGTTTGACAAGTCCATTAGGATGACCGGATTGAGAAGGCACTAAGCCAAAAGTAAAAGTGGGAAGAAAGAGGAGGATTTTCGGGTTTTAGATGCCTTACTAAGTTGTCCACATGAACACAGATGCAGTTCTCTCTACCACTACGTTACGGAAAGGGGTGATGAGCACACCGTTTGATTCGCGCTATTTCGTCTATTTCACGTTTAGGCAAGAAAACTTCTTAGGAGCGTAGGCGTAGAACTAATGGAAGGTTGCTCCGTGTTAGGGATACTCGAAGCGAAGATCAGTTTCATCTGCTGTCGATTCGGTTGTAATGCGTGGCCAATTCGAGCTATTTGTCTCACAAGTTAGCATCGTGGTTGAGTTGCAACGGATCGTGACAAACGTATTGGGTACATCTTAAGTAGATCAGCTCGCAGACCTCGATGATCACCGCTTTCCAACCCACTCGGTCGCAGAATCGTGGTTTACGGCCCACTCATTAGGACCTCTCAGTTTATTGGAAGACTGGACGTGGCACAGACAAGGAGACTGTGGAAATCAAAATCGACCCGATTGCAAAGTCAACTGCCAAACAGTTGCTTCTTGGTCTAGATAGCTATGATTGCGTTTTACTATGAGTGTTCTCTAAACTAACTGAAACTGCGGTAAGGAGTTGTTTATACAGAAGCCCGATATGTTAGTCTTTTTTGTGCAAAGAAAACTGACTGCGCGATTCACTTTAGGTGATTTATCATGGGCCGAGAGTGGCGGTTGCCAGAGTCGGCGTTCTCGACCATCCGAAAAGCAATTCTTTGTACTGGCGACATGTGATGCGCAGCAATTTAATTAACGGCAATGCAGTGGCTATATATGCGTGCCGATTCATCTTATCAATGTGCGCTACAGTCAGAGCTACCTTTTTGATAAGACGCGTCTTTGTTCAAATGTTACTCTCAACATGACCAGATATGACATGTTACGTTCGGTCAGTGGTATTTATCTTTCATGGTTGTTCCAAGATACAGGTCATCTATAAAGGCGCTAACCCAGATGGAATACGATCCGTCCCTTTGTTGACACGGTTTCTCGGTATCACGACAAATTGCATTACTATTATTATTATACTCCGTTGATGATTCCTAGCGTCAAAACATTCGCCCTCTTGCTCGACTGCGGGCATGTGCTGTGCTACCTTTCCCACCGTCGGTAAAGAACCACATCTGATTGCGCCGGATATTGAAGCTTGTTCCACTTATTATAATTTTGGCAAATTCAATCAACGTACATTTTGGTCATTATCCGTAGTAAGTAACAGAGTGTCTATCAAATGCCCTGATCAACCATTTTTCGGGCTTCTCTGAAGCTATTAAGTTGAGTCTGTAAAAATTGCAATTTATTCCCTATATCCTCCATTCTCAATTTTGTTTTCCCTCTACTTTCAGTAGCTGAAGGGAGCAACGCCAAATTCCCCTTCCAGGAAAATGCAGCTGCGTGCTCCGAAGTCGCGAGACTTGGTATACCGCTGTTCTTCTACTGGAATACGCTACATCTGTTTTAGTTCGCAGATCCTCACAAAAGTGTTGTGTTAAACCCCACTATCCAATTCCACCGAAAATCGCCTATCAACACCCGATTACCTGTCTGCCCCCCCCCCCGAATTCGTGGATTGTTTCTTCCAATAACTCACAGTTTCATGTCGCTACCTCGTTCATTCCGTTGTATGCTAGAGTCATGCTCAAGCGTCTTATTCCCAGCGTTTTGTTCTTCCTCTATCGTCTGCTTTCATTCCATAGTTTATTCGCAGCACCCAAGCCAAGCAGCTGCTATCCCTTGACAAATACGGTTGAATGTGAACCGGTGAATCCTCCACTCCTCCCTCCCCACAATGTGTCCTTCTCTCCATGGCTCCAGATCTTTCCTGTGGAGCGTGGACTTTTATCTCTTTCGTCTTCGTCCACGCGTTCCTCGTTTCTTCGTTATGTGGATGTGCGATGTGTCTATGAAGATGCCAGGGAACATTTTAGTTGAACTGTTCATTCCAATTATGCATTTTTGTTATGGTACCTCGATTTCATTACAATTTGATCAGAAGCTGGTAGTCAAGTTTTTGCTACAACCTGTCCTTGATCACCTGCATCTATTGTTACACCTTTTATCTCATTCATACAACAATGAGCTTTTGGGTTATCACATTCTTTATGCTAAGCAGCAGCACGTATCTTTGGGACCGGACACACACACACACCTACCGTCTTGGGATGTTAGTTGAACGCCTGCAGTACACCCCACACACAGCTACTAACAATGTAGTGTATACCAAAACGATGCTTGAACATCAAACCAGTGGGGTACCGTTGAATCGCTCCATCCACGGCCGATGAACACTGTGTGCTTCGTGAGGCTTAGCTGACACGTGGAGACCGACTAATGTGCGCAGAAATTTCTCCGAACAGCTCCCCACACGTCTGTTTCACCAAACGCAGCGGTGAGATCCGGCTTGCATTACGATAGGAGTGAAAACCAAGGTCATCCATTGATTAGAGGGTTAGTTTAAAAACTGTCTGAAAGTATCCTCAAAAAAGCGCAAACAGGGTTTACGGGGTGGCCAGTTTAGTCGACTTTGTTGTATGAAGAACGTACACCGCCGTGTATTCGCCTTACCACTGATAGTATTCGACTGCGGGGCTACCGCACTTAAACCAGCTGATCAAGAAATCAGCTGTGTTCCTGGACTTCAAGGGTGCGTTTGATTCGGTCGATCGATGCATTCTGTTCGAAATACTTACACGGAAAGGTGTTGCCATGAAATATGTGAACACTTTACGTGCTCTATCCTAGTACACCACAGGCCGCGTCGGGGTCTACGGTGATTTGTTGGGTGCCTTCCCGACAACAAAAGGCGTACTTCAGGGTTGCCCAACTTCCCCATTTTTGTTGAAATTCTTCGTGCACTCCATCATGGAGTGTTCCCCTGCGGAGCCTCACGATGCAGACGTCAGGGTTCTGTTTGATGCAAAGCTAGTTGATCTTGATTATGTGGAGGAAAATGTCCTGCTTTTAACAATGTTTGGGCGGCGCAATCAACACTGAATAATCTCTCTAAAGTGATCTTATCATTTGACAAGCGCTTCGCACCTTCAAATTGTAGTGTTGCTGCAGCACCACCAACTATTTGATGACCCCTTGATGGCGAGCAACTTGAGGTAGTTGATCAGTTCACTTAACTTGGCAGCTGTGTTATCAACGATGGGCGCATAGCAACTAAAGTCAGTTCGCGCCTTTTAAAAGGTAGAACTCCCTTTTGAATCTGTGATCACAGGAAGTGGTTTTCCTCCGTCTAAAAGACCGTGTTTACAAGGCCATAGTGAGGGCCGTCCTACTCCATGGAAGCAAGACTTGGCCGCTCCGATCCGAGGACCTGCGGCGCTTTCAAATCTTTGATCATCGGCGTCGGGTGGCACCAGCGTGTCCTTAACCTTGATGTGCGTACACGAGTATTAGGCAGTGCTAACCAAACTAGTTTCCTAGAACAACAGATAGCACTGAATAAGTTGCGTTGGCTAGGGCACGTAGCAAGTATGCCAGATCACTGTTTACGAGGAAGTCGTTATTTTGTTTGCCGTATGTAGGGTAACGCAAAGCCCGAGGTGGGCGAAAATTCATTTCACAGCGGAATTGAACGCACTGATGACCAAACTGGGTGCCGTTTGTCTGTCTTACCTTCCAGGCCAGAGTCCACGTTACCCGCCTTATGCTTGGTTTGAGACGTTTCAGGACATGGTTAGCAGCCGACAGCAGTGGCGCGTCTGCTGTCGTCACCTAGTCGGATTGCCCGTTTAAAGTGTGCTTGGTGCTGAGTTATCTGCGGAGTAATGGCTGATTATGACGCGGGGCAATGAAAGCCGCAAGGAAGCTGTCCCGCCGATGCCGACTTATCTTTGCACGATAGCCAGCTTTTTGTAATGTTATGTTGTCTACACAAGGTGTAGACCCCTTAACTCGCAGTGTTCGTTTAGGGCATTAAGGTTTTACTCTAGGTCCGCATCTCTCCCTCTTCTTGTTCTTCCTTCCGTAGGTCACCGTGGTTGTGCGTTAGCGAAGAACTAATTCAAGTGGCTGATGTACTACTGTCAGTGATGATGGTGATGGTCAAGCAATCTGTCGACCACCATCAAGTTGTCTAGCACATCAGTGGGTCACGGAGTTTTTAATTCCCATTCACTGGCATTCCTACGAAGAACTTTGCATTAATGGGGTGTGCATCAACCACGCAGATAGAAATTGAAGAAATGGTTGGAGGAAAACACGTGGGAAATTCGATGCTAGCTAAGCTGTGTCTACTTACAGTATTTGGGAACCGTTGGATGCTAAGTGTCCAAATGGCCATTCACATTTCTCCCGTTTAATACTGTCTCCTTTCCATTCTGCACAGTCAGCGCTCAACCAGCCACGATCTAGTGCTATTCGAATGTCAAATGTCAAGAAAATGCATTAAAGAGTAAATGATACTTGTTGGATCACAGTGCCTTGATTTCGAAATCAAACCTTCAAAGGGACTCTGTGCATATGTACTTTCGGATGAGTCCCAGCATTCATGTGGCCTCAGCATACTGATATCAATGAACAAAAAGCAATGATCTATCACGGGTAAGAATGCATGTACTTGACAAGTCCCATAGGATGGTTAGAGTGGAAATTAATATTGAAGGGATCAACGAATAAGTACATCATCATTGTATGCGTCTACCGGTTTGAAATGGAAATGGGTTGTGCATACACAAAATAGTATAAACTACAGTTGTAGTTCAGTAAGTCCGTGATAAATAACAGAGGAAATGACAACACTCGAACGTGTGCTATTTCATTAGACCGATTTGATACGTTACTCCAGTTTAGATACAGCCATGCTACTCACAAGTGCACTGCTGCATGTTGGCTATAGAATTGAAAACTGCTAACTCAGGTTGTTTAGATGGCGGTTGAACTGTTCGCTGTGCTTGGCAATTTTGTTACAAGCGTTTCATCGCCAGTCGAGGTGATTTCATCAGTACGTAGTTGAGGGGCGTGCAGTAGCGTAGAGGAGCTTCGGTGAGAGACTACTCTGCGCTAATGCACGCCCCTCAACTACGTATTGATGATATCACCTAGATTGGTGACGAAACGTTTGCAACAAAATGGCCAAGCTCAGCGAACAGTACAACCGGCACTTTTGCATGTATCCTCACCGCCACTTTGCCGAGAGGGCCGTTAAGCATATGGTTTGTTTTGCGGTATTTCGTCCTCCGAGTGATACGGACTACATCAAGTAATGCAAGCTAGAAAGCATGTCCTCAAGTCGTTTTTTGAACAGAGTTAATGTATGGGCAAGCATGACGTGAGTCGGAACGGGATTATAGGCAGGGGACACACGGAGGGAGAAAACGTTTTGTTGACAATCAAGTCGGCTGTAGTGCGTAGCTAGTTTGACCTGATGGCCTCTCAGGTTGGTAGTTTGGCTCAGCTGCAACAGATTGCGACTTGGGTGTTGGGTTCGTCAGTATTAAGTGAACCATGATTAGGTCTCCTCGCTGACGTCGATATACATCACTGTACAATCTCAGGGACTGCAGTCTGAAGCAATCCTCTAACGAGTTCGGTCGCTCTACGTTGTAGAGTCTCAAGTGCATCGATTTCGAGCTTGCGCCAGGGAAGCCGCGCCTGGATTGCGTGTTTCATGTGGGGCCTCGCGTAGGCCTCAGCATCTGCGCAAACATTGTTGGCTCAAAATTTCTGAAAGCCGTCCGTATGAGTCCAAGATGTTGACTGGATCTATTCGATGCTTTTTCAGTCTGTCTCGAGCAGCCATGATCGTGCTGCACGATCATCCCGAGGTCGATTTCCTGGGAAGCACGTTGCAACTGATGGTTCCAAGTAGATATTTATGGGTAAGCTGATGGCGTATGCTTACGACTTTGCAATTCGCCACATTGAACTGGAACAGATTATCGGATGATCACATATATGGCCTGTCGAGATCGCTCTGCAATGCCATGTGATCATCCGCTGTATTGACATCATGCCAAATTTTGGCATAATCTGCAAATAGTAAGCAATTCGACTGCAGTACACCAGCAAGAGCGCTAATGAATGCTATGGATAAACGTGGCACCAGTACCGATCCTTGGGGCACGCCACACTGGACGTTTATTTGGTCGAAAATGGAGCTGGGACTCTCATCTTCATCCGCCGTTGAGTGAGGAGGTTGCCGATCCAACCGAGCGTATGGTCGCCGATTCCATGGCTTCGAAGCTTGTGCAGGAGAACGCTGCGGTCCAAACGATCATTCGCTTTGGATAAGTCCAGGTGGAGGACGTCGACTCCCACTCTGGCATCCACTAATTCTGTTCAGCTTGCTCGGGCTAACAGCAAGTTTGTAGTGCTAGACCGATTTCGGCGGAATCCGTGCTGCTGTGACACTAGGAGGTTGTTGCTCTCAAGATATCCCATGAGCGCCTCTGCAATTATACGTTCTATTATTTTGGAAAACACGGGAAAGGGAGTGGTTGGACGATAGTTCGATGGCTCCTCACAATTACCATTTTTGTAAATAGGAGTGACTAGTCCATGTTACCACATTGTGTAAACCAGTATTTCTCCGAGATAATGTTGAAAGAACCGAGCTAATGGTTCGGCAAGGTTAACGGCCACTGACTTTACTGCCTTCGCTTTGATGTGGTCCACGGCAGGTGAGCTTTGCACGCGCGATGACATTAACCTTTCCATCACATTTGCTGCTGTACACGTTACGCGGTATAACCCTGATGGCGATGGGAGCTATGTCGAAAGCGGGTGTGATGATGGTTCACTCTGGAAAGTGTGGATGAAATGTTGGCGAAGTTGGTTGGCCGCATCTTGTGTAGTTTGCGTAAGACCATCTTGCACGTAAAACTGGGATCCTCCGCTGCACTCTTCGGAGATTGTTGACATGCCTATACAGCAACATGGGATATGTATTGAGTTTCGCCGCTAAGTTTGTTCATGATGGAGTTTGTTTTCGCGGATCAACTTAACACAGTGAGTTCGTTGCGCTGTGTATTCACCCAAGGCCAGGTTACTTGGACAGACATTGTAAGAGCATCAGAATGAATCCCTTATGGCCATGTATTTTCTACTACTGCTCCTCTGGAACCAATTCATTTTCTTCGGGCGA